AAACTCGTGGGTTTTGTGGTCGTTATGAGTGTCTATTTGAGTGCCAAAAGCACACGAAGCGATCACATCCATAGTTAGGTTACCCATCGCTCGCTTCACATCCAATTCATCCCCATTTATAGCCTTTGTCTCCAAGTATTGGTCCAATCGATGGACACAATCGATGATNGTAGTACAGCGGCTGTACTTAGTGTAGCCACACGTTCAAATAAATATCTAACATAAATATATCTATAAGTAATTGATTATATTGACAATTGACAGATATTTTACATTATAATTAAATATAATTATATTTAATATAAGGGGCACAACGTATTAACAAATGTTGTAACATTGCATGTGAAAAGGATATGCTTTAAACACACGATAAATGTTTACAAAATCATTTGTTGTTTATTTTTTTGGCAAATTTTATGCAAATATTTTTCACAATTAAAACAATGAATTAATAGTTAATAATTAATTAATAATAAGCTATTAATTAATTTTTTGTAACTTTTTAAATACAATGTGTTTAAGTTAAGTGCTTATTTGTTTTAATTAATGTGTTGTGAGGTAAATTAATAAATTTATTTTTAATAATAATATTGTCACGTGGTGTTTCTTGTTTAAAACTGACAAACCTAAATCTTTTTACCGACAGTTGCGCCTTCTATTCATGGCACACTGTGAATTTGAATCTGGCTAATCTAAAAAGACATTGGCGATTAGTAATCTATTACAATAAGTAATTGTATCAAGCATTTATTATTTCTATTGAATTGTATATTTAATTCAATATAATCATTTTATTTTAGTCACGATATGACAACATAAACAACATTAAATTTTATGACTGATATCACTGTACATGCAATTAACGTATTTTATATATAGAGACTTACAATTAATGTGAACTTATTATACAAGCACCACTTTTGTTAAGTTAATGGTTAAAATAATCTAATGTATACATTAATAACCAGAAATATTGATTATCTATATTTTGGTGGTGGTATATATTGTTACTAAATAGTAATTTATTAAATACACATCAATTTATTTTGAATATTTTGATTGATTTAATATCACGTAATGAGCAATGCTTTACACCGAACCGAACGTACTGTTAAACACAACCCATTGAACAGTACAGTACTAAATAATATTATCATTATGATAAAACTAATCTAATTTTAAGTACAATTTCTTGAAAAGTATATAAACAGTTAATAAAGCATAAAATATATCAAACGACTGCAATAATATTTAATAAAATTTTATTAATTATAATTCATAGTAACTATTTTCAGCACTGTGAAATTATGTTTTTGTCCGATCTATATAGTTGGAATACGTTAATCGTATTAATTATTACCTATCTCGTTTACCGGTAAATAATTTATTCCAAATTATAATTTTATTTAAAAAGGCAAGATTCTATATTTTAATTATTTATTTATTTCAGATATTTTAAGAAAAATGATAATTATTGGACTAAACAAGGTGTACCCGTCACAGGGTCGGATAGTTTCAGGCAAATGTTCAAGATGCCATTACACGATGTATATTTATATAACAGGAATAAGTATGGTAAAATATATGGGTAAGTCTTACTTTTATAAATAAATGTAAATTGTATTTGTGTTTAATTTTAAATTACTTACTAGAACAAAGCTGGGCTCACGACCGTTGCTGTATGTGTCGGACCCGATGCTCATCAATACAATGAATACCAGAGATTTTCATGTATTTTCCGATCGTTCTGATATGAAATCCGGGGATCCGTTGAACGACCGGTCGTTGTTTAATCTGATGGGAAATGAGTGGAAAGCTATGCGATCTGTGGTTAGTATTGAGTATAAATTGTGGTTATTTTATTGATTAAATATCAGTAGAGTTAGTAAAAAGTCAATAAATAACATGTAAATAACATTTATAGATAAGTCCGACATTTTCATCGGGAAAGATGCGATCAATGCATCCAATTATCATCGATTGTGTCCATCGATTGGACCAATACTTGGAGACAAAGGCTATAAATGGGGATGAATTGGATGTGAAGCGAGCGATGGGTAACCTAACTATGGATGTGATCGCTTCGTGTGCTTTTGGCACTCAAATAGACACTCATAACGACCACAAAACCCACGAGTTTGTCAAAAACGCTCAGCAGGTGTTTGCGAGCACATGGAGACTATGGTTGAGTACATTATCCCTTTATATAATACCAAAGGTTATCAGAGAGCGAATCGGTTTCTCAAATATCGCTCCGTCTGTCAGAAATTTTTTTCAATCAGCGGTTAGTATTAGTTTCACATGAATTTGCGTTACATTAGGATTAATGAAATTACTATTAATTAACATGTTTTTAAAATTTGCACTTTTATATAGATTAAGACAATTATAGCCAGACGTATGTCTGAATCCAATCCGCATAAACATAAGGATTATCTGCAGCTTATGCTAAACGCCCAGAATAAATGTGCGGACCATACGGACAATAATGACATCAATGATGTTAATCAACAACTCTTTGGCGAAACGGATCTAAAGGACAATACCTTAAGAAACAAAAAACAAATAAACTTCGAGATAACAGACATCGATGTTTTGGCCTCGAGTTTACTGTTTCTTTTGGCCGGATATGAGACAACGGCATCGCTTTTATCACATCTATTGTACTCGTTGTCCGTCAATGAGAAGTGTCAGCAAAGACTATACGAAGAGATCAATGCCTTCGACGGCAACTATAGCTACGAATCAATCGCTCGAATGCCGTATTTGGAGGCCTGTATTGCAGAGACGCTCAGACTTTATAATCCGCTCTCAATTATACTTAAAATAGCGAATGAAGATTATAAACTTGGTAATTATTGTCAATAGCTATCAGATTATAAATACCATATTTTAAAATAATATTAATTATAAATTATACTTACAGGCGATACCGATATAACAATTCCGAAGGGAGGGTTTGTGGCGTTTGACATCCAGTCCTTACATCACAGCCCCGAGTATTACCCGAATCCCGAGGTTTGGGATCCCGAGAGGTTTTTACCCGAAAATCGTTCCCAATTAGTGCCCTATACTTATATGCCGTTCGGAACGGGACCCCGAAATTGTGTGGGAATGAGGTTTGCGTTAATGGAGGCCAAGACTGCTGTCGCGCATCTCATCACTAAATACCGATTCAAACGCACCGACAATACAGCGGTTCCGTTGAAGTTCAAAAAATTTCAACCACTTTTAACCCCAGAAAATATCACAATTGGTCTGGAATTAAGATAATTTACTACTGTATATGTGAAAAACTATTACAATTGTACTACAATTGAACTTTATTATTTACAAATAAATTTTGTAATTAAAAAAACAATAATTAAGTAATTACAACCCTTAACTTTACGATTGAGGGTTCAATTTAATTTTAAACCGCAATTTAAATATGAATAATGTAGGATTGTTTTGTTTATTAAAATAAAATATTTTTTAATTAATATGTTATACACAAAAAAACACCAACATATGGACACAAACACACTGGAATTAAATTATCTATAAATATTAATTAATTGAAACAAGTCATAATCTCACCAAAAAAATGTTTCTACTTGGTAAACGTCAACGCTTATTAATAGCAATATTAATCGTGACACTGTGCATGGTCATTTCCAGTGAGGCAGGCGAGCCGACTATCAGGGCTGGTCTGGGAATGCCGTGCGTTGAGAACAAAAACTGTGTGTCGGAAAAATGTATGGGTCGGGGCATTGGGCCCGATAAACTACCTGGCTACTGTGTCGACCCGAAAACCACCTGGCGATACGTGTACCGAGGGCAAAAATTGTTGTTTCCAAAAGTGCGTAAAACTAGCTGGGTCATTAATCATGAATGAACCAAGCACTCTTAGATTGATGTGTGGCTAGGTTATTATATTGATAGTTTGTTATCATGTGTTGTTTTTTGTATTTAATTGTAATGATTAATTTAAATTATATTGTATTTAGTGTCAATGATTACAAATAATTGTCAAATATAAAATATGCTGTAATTTTTTGTTTAAAATATAATTCTTATTAATTGAGAGAGAGAGAGAGAGAGAGAGAGACTAAATGTTTTATTTGAATTGAAAGTTTTACACAGTATTGCATAATGATATAATAAATTTAACCATACCTTCCAGTCACTGCTTTTATTACCCAACGGCAAAATAAATATCATTGGGTACATGATTGCATTTATGTAATGAAATTATGTATAATGTGTAAAGTCTTGCATCTAATGTGAGTGTATAGCTAAAATTAGTTAATTGATAATTTTAATAATCAATTATATTATTAAAATATTATTAAGTAAATGATAAACAATAAAAATAATAATTTAATTTTTCTAGAATGCATAAATATAAAGACTATTACTTTTGTTCAAATATATTACAATATATTTTTTGCAAACTACTGTAGATTTATAATCAAATAATTAGCAATGCTTTGCAACTGAACCAAATGTACTGATAAATGTAAACCTAATGCACCCTCAATAGCGCATGTACTGTTATGCATTATCATCATGATATTACATCATCAAAAGATTATGTTTTATAACAAATTTTTGAAAAGTATATAAACACAAAATATTATCAGTAGCTAAATATAACAAAAATAGTTATAATTACCAAGTGTTAATTTTTTTTAAACAAAAACGGTTAGAATTAACAAGTTTTAAAAATGTTTGTGCCTGACTTATATAGTTGGAAAACTTGGATTGTATTAATTGTTGGATATATTATTTATCGGTAAATATATTTTTAGAATAACATTTAACTAAATGTTGCAAGTGTATTGATTTGTTTAAAATTATTAAATCACCTAGATATATTATGAAAAAAGATAATTATTGGACTAAACAGGGCGTACCGATCGTAGGGTGGGATAGCTTTTGGCAAATGTTCAAAATGCCATTAGGAGACTTAAATCTATACAACCGGAACAAACATGGTAAAATATATGGGTAAGTTGTAATTTAATAAAATTTAATTTAAAATAATCTCAAAAGTGCTAATTTTAAACTTAACTAACAGATCGTCAGTTGGTTCGCGACATTTCCTGACTGTGTCGGACCCGGTGCTCATCAATACTATGAATACCACAAACTTTCACGTATTTGTTGAGAGAATGGATGTAAAAACTGGGGATCCGTTGAACGACCGGTCGCTGATTAATCTGATGGGAGACGAGTGGAAAGCCATGCGATCTGTGGTTAGTATAGCGTAGAAATTGTGATCATTTTTAAATTTATTAAAAATAATTTATTTATATGAATAATAAATCTGTGTTTGAATTGATAGATAAGTCCGACATTTTCGTCGGCAAAGATGCGATCAATGCATCCAATTATCATCGATTGTGTCCATCGATTGGACCAATACTTGGAGACAAAGGCTATAAATGGGGATGAATTGGATGTGAAGCGAGCGATGGGTAACCTAACTATGGATGTGATCGCTTCGTGTGCTTTTGGCACTCAAATAGACACTCATAACGACCACAAAACCCACGAGTTTATGGCCAACGCTCGGAAAGCGCTTGAGAGCACATGGAGGGCGTGGGCGTCGGCACTAATGCTTTTTCTATTGCCTAACCGTATCAGAGAATGGATCGGCTTCTCAGCGCTCTCTCCGTCTGTTAACAACTACTTTCAATCAGCGGTTTGTATTACTTTTACAATAATTTTATTATATTTTATAACATCGTACATTGTATTAATTAATAATTATAATGTTTTGTATGTGTATTACTTGTAGATTAAGTCAATTATAGCCAGACGTATGTCTGAACCCAATGCCTCTAAACACAAGGATTTTCTACAACTTATGCTTAACGCCCAGAATAAGTGTGCGGACAATACGGACGACAAAGACATTAGTGATGATAATCAACATCTCTTTGGCAAAACCGATTCCACGGCCACTGAATTACATCAAAAACAGGTTAAACTTGTGATAACAGACATCGATGTTTTGGCCACAAGTTTATTGTTTATCTTCGCCGGATATGAGACAACTGCCTCCTTATTGTCACATCTGTTGTACTCGTTGTCCGTCAATGAGAAGTGTCAGCAAAGACTATACGAAGAGATTAAGGCTTTTGACGGCAACTATAGCTACGAATCAATCGCTCGAATGCCGTATTTGGAGGCCTGTATTGCAGAGACGCTCAGACTTTATAATCCAGTTTTCGCAACCGTTAGAATGGCTAATGAAGATTATAAACTTGGTAAATAATTTTATTATATATTTTTATCTAAAGTATTTAGCAATATTCTTAAATATTCCGCATGTAATTGTTGCTAATATATTTTTATATAAATGATATGTTTTTAATTTACTAATAAAGTACATTTCATTTATTTATAGGCGATACCAACATAATAATTGCAAAAGGTGATTTTGTTACTTTTGACATCCAGTCTCTCCATCACAGCCCCGAGTATTACCCGAATCCCGAAGTTTGGGATCCCGAGAGGTTTATGCCCTCAAATCGTGATCGATTAGTGCCCTATACTTACCTACCGTTCGGAACGGGACCCCGAAATTGTGTGGGAATGAGGTTTGCGTTAATGGAGGCCAAGACTGCTGTCGCGCATCTCATCACTAAATACCGATTCAAAAGTACGGCTAATACAGCGGTTCCGCTGAAGTTCAAGTTATGTCAACCACTTTTAACCGCAGAAAATGTCACAATTGGTCTGGAATTGAGATAATTAACCATGACCATGTTGTAATTAATATGTTATTACTCAGCTCTCTGTTATTAATTTAAATAAATTAGTCTAAATACATAATAAACTTATTGTAATATCACTAATATAACTAATAAAAGTTACTAAAAATACCATAATATACTTTAAACCATTATAAACACTTGAGCGATAATATTTATAAAAGCATTGAATAACAGTAATTTTATAAACCTAGTTATAAAATTTTTATTGTTTTTATCCGTGAATATTTTTTACTATGTTGTATTATTTATATTTAAGTTATTTATTTTTAATTTATTTTATTTACAATTAATTCTACAACATATTAAATTTAATAAACTAAATAGTATTGCTGTAAATAAGTTATTTCAATTCAAGGTTGTCTTAATGTAATGTAAGTTATGTATTGCATTATTGTATAAACAGTATAACTGTATTGATGAACTGGTTTTATTATGAAATTCAGCATAAACATAATAAAATATTGTAAATGATTACAACTATGTGATAAAAATATATTTTATGTGTAGAGATTTGTTATATAAAGATATGTTATAAACATATGTTATAAACAATAGAAACAAATATTTTTAAAATTTTACTTTTATTATTATTTAGTTATTGCATTATTTTTTTAAAACGGATAAATTATTAAGTATTTTACCAATTACCCACAATATAATTAGACTTATACATAGACTAAATTATATGATTCAATTGAAATCAAAAAAAAATTTTGCAACTTTACTGATTACAATAGTAATAATTACTATAAAACTGGCTAGAGTCCTATTGATTTGCATTTAAAAATTTTATACTTTATTCATGAAAACATTTTAGTGTTTACCACATAAAGAGCAATACTGTACAACTGAACCAGACGTACTGATAACAATAGTAAACCTAATGCACTGCTGATAAACTGTATTATAATTCTGATAATAGTAATAAAAACATTTTTCTTACCATTACACTTTTGTTTGAAAGTATATAAACACTTATCCAGCCATTAAAATATTTATTTTTAACAAAAGTTAATTTCTCATGACAAAAATTATTAATATTACCAAGCTGTAAAATATGGATATGCCTGATTTATTTACGCTCTGGAAATGTTGGATTGCAATAGTAATTACATTTTTTATTTACCGGTAAATATTTATACAAATTAAAATTCAGTTAAAATGTTTTAATTATTATATTTATAAAAATAAATATTTCAGATATTATAAACTTAAAAACAACTATTGGACTAAACAGGGCGTACCCATCCCTGGCCTGGATACATTTGTGCAAATGTTCAAGATGCCATTGGGGGATTTAAATTTGTATAACAGAAACAAGCATGGTAAATTTTATGGGTAAGTTGTAATTTACTGTGAAAGTTGAATACAAATAAAATTAGGCTAACTATATATGTAAATTAACAGGTCATTTCTAGGTGGTCGCAAATTACTGTATGTGTCGGACCCGGTGCTCATCAATACAATGAATACCACAGACTTTCACGTATTCTCCAATCGCTTAGATATTAAATCCGGGGATCCGTTGACAGACCGGTCGTTACCTAATCTGTTGGGAAATGAGTGGAAAGCTATGCGATCTGTGGTTAGTATAACGTATAAATTATGGTTATTTTAATAATTAAATATTGGACAAGTTAGTAAAAAGTCAATAAATAACATGTATATAACATTTATAGATAAGTCCAACATTTTCATCGGGAAAGATGCGATCAATGCATCCAATTATCATTGATTGTGTCCATCGATTGGACCAATACTTGGAGACAAAGGCTATAAATGGGGATGAATTGGATGTGAAGCGAGCGATGGGTAACCTAACTATGGATGTGATCGCTTCGTGTGCTTTTGGCACTCAAATAGACACTTATAATGACAACAAAACCAACGAGTTTATAGTAAATGCCCGGGAAGTATTTGCGAGCACATGGAGGGCATATGTGATGGCGTTAATGATGTTTCTACTGCCCGACCGTATCAGAGAGTGGATCGGCTTTTCAACGATCTCTCCGTCTGTTAACCACTTTTTCCGATCAGCCGTTAGTATTGATTACATAATAATTTTTATACAATTTTATATCATTTCTAAAAATATTTATTACTATTAGATTAAGTCAATTATAGCCAGACGTATGTCTGAATCCAACCCAACTAAACACAGGGATTATCTGCAGCTTATGATTAACGCCCAGAATAAGTGTGCGGACAATACGGACGACAATGACATCAATGATGTTAATCAACAACTCTTTGGCGAAACGGATTTGACAGACACTCCTCTAAGACATGAGAAGAAGACAAACCCAGACGTGAAGGACATCGATATGTTGGCCTCCAGTTTCGTATTTTTTGTGGCCGGATATGAGACAACCGCCAGTTTATTGTCGTTTTTGTTGTACTCGTTGTCCGTCAATGAGAAGTGTCAGCAAAGACTATACGAAGAGATCAATGCCTTCGACGGCAACTATAGCTACGAATCAATCGCTCGAATGCCGTATTTGGAGGCCTGTATTGCAGAGACGCTCAGACTTTATAATCCACTCATCGCCACCGTTAGAGTTGCTAATGAAGATTATAAACTTGGTAAATATTCTCATTAGTAATGAGTCACTATTAAATAATTTCAACTAAATTACATGGAAATTTAAAATGTTCTGTGTTTATTTCCTGTTAATATTTGCTTTGTTAATTAATCATAATAATTTATTTGCTATTTTAAAGGCGATACCGGTATAACAATTCCGAAGGGAGGGTTTGTTACGTTTGACATCCAGTCCCTCCATCACAGCCCCGAGTATTACCCGAATCCCGATGTTTGGGATCCCGAGAGGTTTTTACCCGAAAATCGTTCACAATTAGTGCCCTATACTTATATGCCGTTCGGAACGGGACCCCGAAATTGTGTGGGAATGAGGTTTGCATTAATGGAGGCCAAGACTGCTGTCGCACATCTCATCTGCAAATACCGTTTTAAACGCACCGACAATACAGCGGTTCCGCTGAAGTTCTTGAAGTTCAAACCCATGTTAACCGCTGAAAACATCACAATTGGTCTGGAATTGCGATAATTTGTTAATTAACCGAAACATATGCACATTTATAATTAATATATCTACTATTTATTTAAAATATACAGTATATTATTTATTGTCTAAGTTTTTAATATTACTGTAACATTTATTTTTGATTTTATAATTCAATTAATTATGATTCTTTTATTATATAAATTAATTATACATCATGTGTAAAAAATATTGTTTATAATTTTAATTAACTTTGATAGATGAAAAGATTACAGATTTACATTGAAATATTCAAATGGTTTTTAAAAATATTTATAGTTTGCTTTTATATTTAAAATAATCACTTATTACTGTATAATTATTGTAATTAGTATTTTACTGTAAAATTATTTTACTGTACTTATAATATAGGTTATAAGGTTATAAGTTATAACCTAGAACATATAATGGCAGAAAAGTGGGGAAATTGTTTTTAATTAAACGTATATATTGAATCATCAAGGTATTTGTCATCTATTAATATACACAATATGTGAATAGTTTATGAATAACGTTAAGCTATTTTTCATTTTTGAAGCTTTTTTTGAAGCACTTGCCATTTGATGACCTAGAACAATATTTAAGTTTTACCACTTTTACATATTTTAACATAATGCTTTAGAATTTTATTTTTTGGAGATTTGCAAATAAATAATGTTATATCTAAAATAACACAGAATTCTTATCACTTTAATTAATTAATATAGTTAAGTATTTTATTTGGTGCTTACCAATACTTATTTTTATGCAGTTATAGTATTTATAATAATGAAATAATTATTTTTATTTTGTTACATATTTTTTTGCAACTTTTATAGTCTAAAGGGGTTATAAGTTATAACTAATCCATATCTTGCTTATATTAAAATTAATTTTGTAACATCCGGCAAGCTAGCTAGTTTAAACATTTTGCTGAACAATAATGTGTTTAACCCTAGAAGCTTAAACTGGAAGATTAGTCTCCCATTTGCACTTTGAATTTCACTTAAAAATCAATGAAGAGTGCTAGCAAGAAAAAAATCCAGGAATGCCTTATAATTAGTTAGATTTATAAATTTGTAAAGTTATATAATTATTAAATTAAATTATCATGATTAAATTGATTTAGTTAAAACGTTTGGGATAGTATTCTCCCAGTTTATGCGCAATGTAACTTTTTCACGTAGTATAAGTAGTGCTAATTTTTATCTGTACGTAATGCATAAACTGGGATATTAATCTCCCAGCATTAAACTGCATAAACTGGGAGAATAATCTCCCAGCATAAACAGCACTAAAGCGTGGGAGATTAATCTCCCAGTTTATGCACTAACTGCTGGGTGATTACTCTCCCAGTTTATTTACAACTTTCATAATTATAGTTTAAGCTTTAAGGGTTAAAGTCAGATAAAATGTCATATAATGGTTATGTAAACATTTATTATTTCAACCTTGAACATTCTCTTTTATTTATATAATAACCTTGTATGTTAATTCAATACAGAATATTAGTCTCTACATGTTTTATGCACACTTTAAATGTTTTATAATTATATAATGTTTATTATCTAATAAAATATACAAATTTTAATTAATTTGTTATTTTTAATAATTACAATTATTATTTAATAATTATCATAAATATAATCTAGTTGAATATGTGGTTTGAAAGTTTGTGTAACATGTATACATTAATAGGGGTAATCATTGTAACAATAATATACCGGTAAATGTTTAAATATTTTCTCTAAAATGTGTATATAATTTAAACTATTATTGTTAATATAGCTATTATTTTAAACGAGAAAATTATTGGACTAAACATGGTGTTCCCGTAACCGGTTGGGATAGTTTATGGAAAATGTTTCAATTGCCAGTGAGTGATATCAATCTATATAATTACAGAAAACATGGTAAAATATATGGGTTAGTAATTATATTGTTTATATTAGAAATAATACTGTATTAACTTTTAATTATTACTCATTAGGTCAGACCTGTTTAGCATGAAGTCGTTAATAGTGGCCGACCCGGAGCTGATCAACACAATGAATACCAGAGATTTTCACTTATTTGTCGACCGCACGGCCTGGAAGTCCGGGGATCCGTTGAACGACCGGTCGTTGTTTCAACTGATGGGAGACGAGTGGAAAGCCATGCGATCTGTGGTTAGTATAGCGTAAAAATTATGATCATTTTGTTTAACATACTGTATATAAAGTAGTTTAATATATTTTAATAAGTAATATGTGTTTGAATTGATAGATAAGTCCGACATTTTCATCGGGAAAGATGCGAGCAATGCATCCACTGATCATCGATTGTGTCCATCGATTGGACCAATACTTGGAGACAAAGGCTATAAATGGGGATGAATTGGATGTGAAGCGAGCGATGGGTAACCTAACTATGGATGTGATCGCTTCGTGTGCTTTTGGCACTCAAATAGACACTCATAACGACCACAAAACCAACGCATTTGTGGAAAATGCTATGAAATTGTTCAGGTTCAATTGGTTTCTCTGGGTGTTTGCATTACTACTAATGATGTTACCTGATTCAATGAGGGAGTGGTTTGGCTTTTCACTCATGTCCGCCACTGGGGGTAAATTTTTCCGATCAGCGGTTAGTATATAATGTTTTATAAAGTTTTATTTACAAAATTTACCATGTGCATTTTATATCATTTATTGAATAACAAAAATTAGATTAACGAGATTACAGCCAGACGTAGAGCTGACCCCAATTGCGGTCAATACAGGGATTATCTGCAGCTTATGATTAACGCCCAGAATAGGAATGCAGACAATAGTGAGGATCAGGACATCGATGACCTCAACGAACACATCTTCGGCACAACCGATTCTAAGGACTCTTTGAAACCTAAACAGCCAATGAAAGCGCAGATAACAGACAACGATATGTTGGCCACGAGTTTGTTATTTTTCATCGCCGGTTATGAGACAACTGCCACTCTATTGCAGTTTCTGTTGTACTCGTTGTCCGTCAATGAGAAGTGTCAGCAAAGACTATACGAAGAGATCAATGCCTTCGACGGCAACTATAGCTACGAATCAATCGCTCGAATGCCGTATTTGGAGGCCTGTATTGCAGAGACGCTCAGACTTTATAATCCACTTCACGTTACCTTTAGGATTGCAGCGCAGGATTATAAGCTTGGTAAATATTTTTATCACATAGACTCTATATTTCACAATTTTTAATACAATTTTAGTAGACTTTTACACCATTAATAATAATGCTATTTACAATATAAAATATTGAGAATTTTAAATTACATGATTTATTACTTACAGGTGATACTGAAATAATTGTGCCGAAAGGAACGCTCGTGGTATTTGACATCCAGTCCCTCCATCACAGCCCCGAGTATTACCCGAATCCCGAGGTTTGGGATCCCGAGAGGTTTTTACCCTCAAATCGTGATCGATTAGTGCCCTATACTTATATGCCGTTCGGAACGGGACCCCGAAATTGTGTGGGAATGAGGTTTGCGTTAATGGAGGCCAAGACTGCTGTCGCGCATCTCATCACTAAATACCGATTCAAACGTACGGCTAATACAGCGGTTCCGCTGAAGTACAAGAAGTTTAAGATAATATTAACCTCTGAAGTCATTTATCTTGGGATTGAAAAAAGATAATTTTTTAATTATAACATTTAACAAATATATTATTATGTATTGTATTATGGATAATAAGTTATTATTAATAACTGAATAGATTTACCTTGTTGTTAAATTTACCTTTAAGGTTAACAAATTATATCTTCATTATTAACCTACATATTAGCTTACCAGTAAACAAAATAAACCATGATTAATTTTACTTAACACTAAACCATATCATTCATCGGATTGTATTGTTTTATTGAACACAAAAAACTCAATTTATATCTAATTAACAAACACTTCATCAATAAATACTAGAAATAATCTACACTTTACCGACAGTATACTGTGTCTAAAGTTGAGCTTGTTGGCCAGACTGACTCTAATCAGACGCCAATTCAACAAACCAGATGTGGTGCCGCACCTGACCTACGGTTGGCCGGGCCTTCGGGTCCGGACTGAGCATACGGGCGATCAGATCGGCGCAGTCGGCGCTCACACCCCAATGGCTCCCAATCTCTGGTGACCACTGTTTAAGAGCCGGCACAATACCGGACAGTAGATACCGGCCGGACAGGCACTCGGCCGCGCACATACCCAGCGAGTAGACATCCATAGGTTTACCCTCGGACAGTTTTCCACTTCGCACCTCCGGCGCCATATACTTGGCTGTGCCCACGCGGCCGAACACCTTGCCCACCTGTGCCGGTTGAAACATCTTGCTCATGCCAAAATCACCCAGCTTGAATGTGTGCGGCCACAGAATGGCCGGATCCTCGCCGAGCGTATACATCACGTTATGTATCTTAACGTCCAGATGACACACATTGCGCTCGTGTAGATACAGGAGCCCAGCGGTCACGTCGGACAGCACGTGATGGCACTGGCGTTCTGTCATATGTTTGTCGGGCAGGGTCTCCATCAGCGCCTTCAGGTCACCCACGCATAGCTCCATAAACACGAGAGTCCGGGCGTACGGGTAGCCCGTCTGCGGGTCGTGTATGTGAAACACGTGACCGCACCGGACGAGGTTCGGGTGGTTGAGTTGGCAGTGGAGCTGCGCCTCCCGGAGCAGTTTGTCTGTGGCAGCTTTTACTGTGTCGCCCGGCCGACGCACTTTGGCCAACGACATGACCTTACAGGCGACCTCGCGGTCAACGTACTGGCCCGTCACCGGGTTCCGGGCCAGCCGGGCGGCCGTCACACGCCATACGGTGCCGCACGCGCCGGCGCCCAGCGATTGGCCAAATCGGAATCCGTGTGTCGCCAAGTAGTCGAGCTCGTCGTCCGGTAGGGGCACACCGTATGGTATGGCAGGCATGGGATGGCGACCCGACACCTGCGCCCAGTTTTGATAGTAGTGCTGGTAGTGAGCGGCGCCGTGAATGGGCGCTTCGGGGCTGCCCTCCTGTCCGCCCGGCACTGGATGTGTGCCGTAGACGGCCTGCGGTTGTTCTGTTAGGTGGGTATTGCCTGTTGCCGGCGGCGCCAGTGCCCAGTCCTGAGCTATGCCGGGCTCCAAGTTTGGGTCGTAGCCCCTGAACGCGTGCATCGGCTCAGCTCCCGCCTCATGGCTGGCCTCCCGGCGCTGGTCTATGTATTCAATGTACTCATCGGTGGGTATGACAGGTGGGGGCGTTGACGGGTGTGACCGCATTTTATATTTAGCCTCTTATTATGTGTGATATCTGTTTTTAAACTTGTTTAATTTTATTATGCAAATTATATTTAATTTAATTCAAATTTAACACAATTGTTATAAAAATTAATATTGTATTTTGTGATTAATTTTTAACTAAGTTAGTTTTTTTAAACATAAATCTATAGATATTTAGTTATAAATTATAAAAACAATTCAATTAATAAAGCCATAAAAGCAAACATTTAGTTAATAATCAAATCAAAAACCAATTCATGGCATAAAAACACTAAATTTTAATACTTGTATTGAATATCAGACTTGTTTTGTGTGACTTTGTGGGGGAGAAACGGGTGGGAGAGTGAAGAAGGGATGGGTTGTCCTACAACTTAGTTACCAAATGGTGTGCGCGCCGGTCGCCGAGGGAGCCGCCTGGTGGTGATGGGCATAGAGGGCGCACCGCAGCGCCGGCGACAGGCCGGGCGGCCACCCATAGGTATCGCTTGGGGCGAACTGGCGAACCGCAGACGAGGCCCCGTCGATCCGGGCACTACTGACCAGCCCTGGCCGTAGGACTGACCGTTGGATTGGCCGTAAGACTGGCCGTACGACTGGCCGTAAGAACTGGCACTCGAACCCGCTCTCTGTCCGCCCATCAGCATCCGTCGGCCACCGCTCTGACCAGCGATTGGCGGCAATCTTTGCCGATGGCCACCACCATAACCACCACCACCGCCGCCGCCTCCATAGTAGCCCCGGGCGCCGGCACCACCGCCATTGGCCCAACCCATGTGCACACGGCGTCCGGACAGTAGCCAATAGGACATCGCCAGCGCTGTGTAGACGCCGTACAGTATGGTAAGCCTACGCATGTGCGGCTTCTGGTCGTGAGGGGGCAGTCGGTACACTTTGGCCGCCGCGTACATCACGTACGCCCCGAACCCCAGCACTGACAGGCCAAACACCATCCGCACCGCACTCAGCAAACACCGCACCCCAAAGCCAGCGCCACCGCCGCCGCCCCCATAGGCTTGTAAACCGGGTCTCCGATAGCCCCCAACCCGGCCGCCGGGCCCTACGGCCGCTATTGTGCCCACACGTCTGTCTACTGATTGCATGGATGAGCCACTGGTTGTTGAGTATGTGTTTGTATTGTGGGAACTGTTTGCTTAAGACTATCTATCAGTCTCTGTCTGTTGACTGTTTTGTTGAAATTTTGTATGATTTTTGAAAGTTTTATTTTTAACGTATTTTTTGAGGTAAAAATTTGTAAATTGTTTGTAGTTTTAAATGTATTTTAATATTTTAATTACTATTTATGTTGTATTGTTTGCCAATAAACTACTTATTCAACACACTTTAATAACTTTGTTCTACAAGTTTTAATTATATTTACAATTACTTATCAACTATCATGAAAATTAAATTACTAGTACAGTACTCATTAACCAGTTAACATTTAAAAACTACTCATATATCTAAAACTACCATGATAATAACAACCAAGAATAAAATCAATTATTATAAGTCATAATCAGCGCCAAAAACACAGACATAGAGAGAGAAAGAGAGAGAGGCGTAACCAAAAAACTACACAAAAACACAGCACATGTTATATGGGTTTCCATAGAAACAGTACACAAAAAACACAACAAACAAAACACATAAACAAAACTCACATTTCATTTGCACTGAAAGTGTGTTTAACACCGAAATGAGTGCCCAATTAGTGGCCGCTTTGCGGCGACTTCTGCCCGACGGCCACAGTGTCTACCGATTGTCATCACCGGTGGACACGACCTCCGCATCAGAAGTGCGGATCAGCGACGAAGTGATCGGCGAACCACTCATTCACTTACTCCGAGTCGTCGAGCGATACGTACGGCAAGCGTTGGCCGCCGAAGAAGACAATCACATCCACACGAAGACAACTGCCATCACATCCACCGGTGATGATTACCACAGCCTTAACCACAGGTCTTCAGCGGTTGTGGCGATGATAGCTATGGCCGACGACATGAGCCGCACCTGCGATGCCATCGTTGACCGGCTGTGGGAACGGATCAATTGCGGCGAATGGCGTTCAGTGGCCAAAGACTTGCGCTACTGTTAGCGGTTGTGGCGATGATAGCTATGGCCGACGACATGAGCCGCACCTGCGATGCCATCGTTGACCGGCTGTGGGAACGGATCAATTGCGGCGAATGGCGTTCAGTGGCCAAAGACTTGCGCTACTGTTTGGCGTATGTGTCGGCGCTGAAGGCCGTCTGCCGGTGCCTACCATTGCCGGCCATCAGCTGTTGTGGTGATGATAATGACTGCGTTAATGAACGCAAAGTGCAGGCCCTCTACGCCCTTGACTTCGGCCTCTTAATGAGTCCCAGACTTAGCGGCGATAATATATTGGCCAAAATGGCGACCGCTATCCACGAGTCCATTGTCTGCTGCGGCGGTTGTGATAGTGAGCGGACACTAACCGGTGATAATCGCAAGAGATTAAAGCTCAGCGCAGGTGACGATCGGGCGCTCAACGCGTATACAGTTGATGCCACCGGTGATGATCACAAAATGAGCCATCAATTAAGTGATAATAACAATACTGTGATAACAATACCTGAAGACTATCGCCGGTTAATACCCTATTTCGGTGATAGTGTTAAGCATCGCATCAAACGTGTCCACGAGTTAGACATCGAGACATTCCTCGCCGACTACTTACGACCTCAAGAGCCGGTGATAATCACCGACTGTATGGCCGATTGGCCGGCGCTGAACGGCCCGCGCAAGTGGTCCGTGGAGTACATTGCACGGGTGGCCGGCTATCGGACGGTTCCCATAGAGATCGGCAGCAAATACACGGACGATGAATGGAGCCAGAAGTTGATGACTATCAACGAGTTTATCGCAAAGTACTTAACGCCGGGCGCGGAAGTGGAGGCGCCCGGCGGTGGCGGCGGACACCGGACCGGGTATTTGGCTCAACACAACCTGTTTGATCAGATCGAGGAGTTGATGGCCGACATATCAGTGCCCGACTACTGCTGTCTGACCACCAGTGGTGACAACAACGACACCAATGATGCTGAAGACGAGTCGGCGCCGCCCGATGTGGACATCAACGCGTGGTTCGGCCCTTCGGGCACAGTCTCGCCCCTACACTACGACCCCAAAGACAATCTGTTGGCGCAGGCGATGGGCGCTAAGTATGTGCGCCTATACCGGGCCGACACACCCGCGGAGGCCATATACCCGAACGAGTGTCGCCTACTGTCCAACACAAGCCAAGTGGACGTGGAGTGTGTGGACAGCGAACGGTTCCCGGCGTTCGCTACGTTGGATCAGTACTGGGAGTGTGTGTTAAGTGAGGGCGAGATGTTGTTTATGCCGCGCCGTTACTGGCATTTCGTCAAATCCCTGTCCACCAGCTTTTCCATCAGCTTTTGGTGGCAATGATTGACCCGTTTTATTGATCACCCATTTATATAAAATTATTGATTCAATTAATTGTTTTGCAATTTTGTTGTTTATTTGAAAGAATCGTTTTTTTTGTATTGAATATTAATAATATATTAATAATTGTTTGCTTTCATTAAAAACTTACACAATTATTGTGTGAATTAAAAAATGCGATTTATTATATTTTTTGAAAAAATTCATTAAAACATTACTTTTAAAACAATTTAAGTACAAAAAGTGAGTAAAAAATTGTCACCACAAGAGAACTATAACAACTGATCACAAGACTAACAAAATGGCCGACAATCAGATTGTAAGTGATTTAGTGCCCACAGAGACGGCAATCGTAAGAACCATTTACGACTGCCCTCAGGACTTGCCGGACGACGACGTGTGCACTCCTGGCGACGTATACACTGGTGAGCGTACGGTCCCGGAACCGGCACCCGATGTCCCCACTGAATACCCGGACGACATCCCCGACGACGAACCAGAAAGCAATTATGACGACATCGATAGTCCGGACTTTGCTAACAGAGCACAAGTGTTGTGATGTTAGTGTTGGGCGAACAGACCCGAGCCTACGGCCAAAATCATGGCGGAATCGTCACTCCGGGCGTCAAAATGCCCGACGAGTTCTTTGGCCAACTCCTGAAAGCGGGAGCGTTTGCGGTGATCGACGGCTACCACATGATGGCCGGTGTGGTCAATGCGCGCAACGAACTGACAATATAATATATATATATGGTTGACGACCGTGATGATGCCGCGACACGTCGAGTTGCGATCCGTTTTACGCGGATACTATTTCCACAACCACTAAAACTCGATGTTTAATGTTCATAGCCACAAGCCATACCGCGCTAGCGTTGCCGTCCAGCGCCGGCTCGGCATCGACTACAAAAAGTGGCCCAAATTTTTTAAGAAACGGTTTGGCGTTCCGGTGGCCAAAATCCGATTCCATGGGTCGACCATATACTAGCCAACCGGTGCGATACTATGGACATCATTGGGCTGGTAAATTACGGCACGGAAGAACAGCAATCTTCACATTGTATTGATCGCCGGTAAGAGTACACAAATGTTTCGGTTGTCTACCAAAAAACAAGTTATTTGATATAAGTTAAATAATATTGACTTTTATTTGGTAAATTATTTTAACCATAAAATCAAAATAACTTGTACAAAAAGTGAGACCACGGAGCAAACCTGTTAACTAAAATTTAATATGTAATTTATTGCAAAGATATACGTTATTATATCCCGTAAAATTTAATATAAACATTTGTAATATAAATTTTGCATTTGAAAGTGGTCACTCCTGGAGGTCCGGGGGCATCGGCACGCAATGTAATTATTTTTTAAGCTTTATAATTAATTAATAAACTTTTAGTAAACATTATTTTAACCTTTAATTGGTTCATTCACTATGCTCTCCACTCTTGTTTCGCATTTGTGCTATCCTTGCCAAATTATACATTAAATAACGTTTCTATATGCAATAATATAGGGCATTTTAAATTATATTTGTAAACATTATATTTCTTTGCATTTGGAAGTGGTCACCCCTGTTGGTCCGGGGGGCATCTGCCTGCCACGTAATTATTTTTAATCTTTTATAATTAATTAATTAACTATTAGTACAAATTATTTTAACCCTTAAATGGTTTATTCACCCTGCTCTCCACTCTGGTTTCGCTAGCGGTTGTGGCGATGATAGCTATGGCCGACGACATGAGCCGCACCTGCGATGCCATCGTTGACCGGCTGTGGGAACGGATCAATTGCGGCGAATGGCGTTCAGTGGCCAAAGACTTGCGCTACTGTATGGCGTATGTGTCGGCGCTGAAGGCTGTCTGCCGGTGCCTACCGTTGCTGGCCATCAGCTGTTGTTGTGGTGATGATAATGACTGCGATAATGAACGCAAAGTGCAGGCCCTCTACGCCCTCGACTTCGGCCTCTTAATGAGTCCCAGACTTAGCGCCGATAATATATTGGCCAAAATGGCGACCGCTATCCACGAGTCCATTGTCTGCTGCGGCGGTGATAGTGAGCGGACACTAACCGGTGATAATCGCAAGAGATTAAAGCTCAGCGCAGGTGACGATCAGGCGCTCAACGCGTGTACAGTTGATGCCACCGGTGATGATCACCAAATGTGCCATCAATTAAGTGATAATAACAATACTGTGATAACAATACCCGAAGACTATCACCGGTTAATACCCTATTTCGGTGATAGCGTTAAGCATCGCATCAAAAGAGTCCACGAGTTAGATATCGAGACATTCCTCGCCGACTACTTACGACCTCAAGAGCCGGTGATAATCACCGACTGTATGGCCGATTGGCCGGCGCTGAACGGCCCGCGCAAGTGGTCCGTGGAGTACATCGCACGGGTGGCCGGCTATCGGACGGTTCCCATAGAGATCGGCAGCAAATACACCGATGAGGAGTGGAGCCAGAAGTTGATGACTATCAACGAGTTTATCGCGAAGTACTTAACGGACGGCGCCGGAGGAGTGGAGGCACCGGGTGTTGGCGACGGTGGACACCGGACCGGGTATTTGGCTCAACACAATCTGTTCGATCAGATCGAGGAGTTGATGGCCGACATATCGGTGCCCGACTACTGCTGTCTGACCACCAGTTGTGACAACAATGACAACACCGACGCTGAAGACCAGTCGCCGCCGCCCGATGTGGACATCAACGCGTGGTTCGGCCCTTCGGGCACAGTCTCGCCCCTACACTACGACCCCAAAGACAATCTGTTGGCGCAGGCGATGGGCGCTAAGTATGTGCGCCTATACCGGGCCGACACACCCGCGCAGGCCATATACCCGAACGAGTGTCGCTTACTGTCCAACACAAGCCAAGTGGACGTGGAGTGTGTGGATACCGAACGGTTCCCTCTGTTCGCGGCGTTGGATCAGTACTGGGAGTGTGTGTTAAGTGAGGGCGAGATGTTGTTTATGCCGCGCCGTTACTGGCATTTCGTCAAATCCCTGTCCGCCAGCTTTTCTATCAGCTTTTGGTGGCAATGATTGACCCATTTTTTAAATCATTGATTTATACAAAATTTTTGATTAATTTTTGATTCAATTGATTAATTATTTTGCAATTTTGATATGTATTTATTAATTAAATGAATAGTTTATTTTTATTGTATTAATAATTGTTTGCTTTCATTGAAAACCTACACAATTGTTGTGTGAATTAAAAATGCAATTTATTTTTAGAAAAATTTATTGAAATATTATTTTGAAAAATAATTGAAACACAAAAAGTGAGTAAATAATTATCACAACAAAAGAGACAACTAAATCAACTGATCCCAAGACTAACAAAATGGCCGACAATGAGGTTGTAAGGGATTTAGTGCCGACAGAGACGGCAATCGTGCGAACCATTTACGACTGCACTCAAGAGTTAACGAACGACGACGTGTGCACTCCGGCCGCCGTATACACAGGCGAGGGTGGGCTCCCGGGGCCGGCACCCTATGTCCCCACCGAATACGTGGAGCCCAATTACGACAACCTCGACGACGAACCCGAAAGCGATTACGAGGACATCGACACCTTTGGAGACCCAACCCAACCGTCTATTGCTGTGACCAGATTGAGGGCCGACGCGGCCGCCAGACCCCAGTATAGGCCGCCCGATGTGGACCACCGGTACGTAAGCGAACGCACTTTGGCTCAATGGCACCTCGATTCCACTTCCAGGGACGCCGACGACGAATTTGCGCCATATCTGTCCTCGCAGTCCATTATCGGTTGGACAGAACCGGCGCCGGACGCCCAGACGTACGGGTGCCGCACATTACTCTTCCCGGACACAATCGGTCCCCCAATTGTACCGTATTTTATACGCGAAGAATACGGGAGAGTGCGAGCACTGCTTCCTCCATGGAGACATCCAGCGGTAAATCCAGCGGTCGATCCAGCGATAGATCCAGCGATAGATCCAGCGGTAGATCCAGAGGTAGATCCAGCGGTAGATCCAGCGGTAGATCCAGCGGTAGATCCAGCGGTAGATCCAGTGGATCCAGCGGTACGTCGAGCGAGAGGACGAGCATTAAATCGACCTGACCTGGGCACTATTTTGAGTCGCCCCCGGGGTTGGAGAGCAACACATGACGAATCGGTTAGCGATATATTTACCGACACTATATTCCCAGTGGTGCTGAGCGTACAAGTGACCCAGGTGCCCGAGTGGCCCGAATGGATGACACGAATGACACTAGACATGTCACTAGAGATGGAAACGGAGCCACAATACGATTTCCAAACGATATACAGTCCACTGCCCGTCTTGGGACAGGTGCCCGGCACTCATTATACCAACACTTGTCAGCTATTTTTGATGACTACACCCGACAGTATGGCATCGATTAAGGCTCGACTTCGCTTCCATCAGACATTTAAAGTACAGCAAAGGGAAGAAGTGGTCGAGTCATTCGCGGCCGACCTGTGCCTCTTCATCGCAGACCCGGCGCAACACGTACTCCAGTTTCAGACAGTCATCCGTCGGATAGTCGACATTCACAGCCCTTGGCTGCGATCGCTTGGAGTGATCGGACTGTACGCCAGCGCACAGAACTCGCCGCCCGAAGCGCACCGACTGTCGCGGGACGTGACCGACGCGGACGGCGCCTTCACGCACACAGACAGCCGGGGGCCGCGTTTTTCGCAACGCGTGGGCTATTTGGTGAGCAAACAGTCACTGATGACAGTCGCCGAACAGAGGCGAGGCTATGGCCATTCGTACGGCGAATGCCCGGTTCCGGGTGTCAAAAAGCCGGACGAGTTTTTTGGCCAACTCCTAAAAGGGGAAGCGTTTGCGGTAATCGACGGCTACCACGTGTTGGCCGCCCTGTCCGACGAGCAAAACAGTATTGCAATAAACAATCTGAGTTACGAGCGGTCATTCGTGCCCAACGTCGCCCGGGTTGTGGTGACGCCCGAAGGGGTGAACGCACTGTTGGTAGAGCTCAGACACTATCCCCCAAATCAGACTCAAAGCTATTCATACCTACGCGCGACGGCTATCTGGCAAGGGTTGGAAAACCGGTGCCTATCGCTGGACTGGTATCGGTTTCAGTGCGATTTCGACCCTCTGTCGGCCACATTCCAGGAGTTGTTGGCCACCGACGAGCAGTACCCGCACTTCCGGCCAGTGATGCGTTTGAATGAGATGAGCGACTATGTGGTGGTTCGGGACACGAGCCTAGAGGGCCGGGAAGTGCGCGTGTGTTTCAGTCTATGCGCGTACACTTACGACAGAGCAATCACTGCTTTAACGGCCGGTAATCGTAGAATATTTACGGAATCGTATCACGTTTTCTACGAGATCGCCGACCGGCCGGCCGATGACGACCCCACCCGGTGCTGGCATTACTACATGACAATACAATGGAAGTGGTCACTACGCCGGACTCAGGACGATCCCGTGAACCAAGAGCTGGTGGCCACTTGCAATGATCGACCACGGCCACGGTCGCTGTTTGGTAATGGGCGTGTCACCCAGGACTGGCTCGGCATCAAATATCACCAGTGGATCAAACATAGTTTCCACAGGTATGGCGTCCCGTTGGCCCGAACCACGTTCAACGGGTTCCGCAACCCGTCACCCCTACTGGCCAACCGGTGCGATGTTATTCACACCTTTCGGCTGGTCTTTTTAGACTCGAATAAAGCCCTGCCTTCACATAGTGTATAAATCCCCGGCGCCCCCAAAAAAGTTACAATTTTTTACACAAAACACAAGTTTATTCAACAAAAACAAGTTATTTATTCAAACAAAATCTATGTTTGAAAAGTATCCGTAAATATAGTCATTAAAAATAGTTATTAAAAGTCAAACATTTTGTTATTTATTTTTTATAAAAAATAATATTAAACTAATCGTTAAAACTTTTTTAAAATATTAATTTAATTGATGTTACAAACGTAATGTGAATATGATTAGTAGTACTACTAATACAGTAGAAACTCAATTATTGTTTGATATATTATTTTAATAACTTTATTACAATATTGTTATGTTAATGTGTAAACACTGTAAATAGCTTTTACCATAGTGGAAGACAGACCACTTCAAAATGTTTAAATTAATATAAAGGCCTTCAAAATTAAACGGTTGTGTTTCTTGGTCGATTCCTCTGGAACTGTTGGAGTGACAATATTGAAACTTGAAACATATATAGATCCACGTCGGGCAATTTTTTGACAACAAAAAATTTTATGATCACGTGACTTTTTATGTGAGACAATGGTTGATTTGCGAGACCCATATTCACAACCTACTGAGTTTG